TTGTGATGTGTATCATGATAGGAGCAAGTTTAAATACAGCATTATTAGTTAGTGAATAACCACGTGACTATATATGGTACTTCTGGGTTTACAGACACTACTGCCGATACTGATCCGAACAGTCTTGCCTGCGCCGTTACAGCGCGTGAATACGGTGTTCTATACCAGCGATTACTCGCCCGATTAAAAGGCCGCTAAACACGCTCTAAGCGTTCCTCTACTACGTATAAGCTTGCTAAGGCGCAAGACCAAGCGCTATACGATTATATCGCACGCCTTAATGAACTTAGCGTTTATATACGACTGCCTGTGATTATATCATATGCTAATTATCTTCTTTAACAAGCTTATAATAGTCCTAGTCCTCCACCAACTGCAAGCTCGCGATGGGCAAAACAATGGCTTAAACGGCAGCCTGAGCTTCACGTACGGCGATAGCGATCTCTTAATCTTAATCGCGCACTTGCGCATGACTTAGACTCTATTATAGAGTGGTTTAACAACTTTATAAGCCTAATTTAGACGCATGGCATCCCACCATCAGATATCTGGAACTTCGACGAGACTGGCTTTCGCATTGGGATTGGAAAAGACCAGTGGGTTATTACTTTTGAGCCTCGCCGCCGTGTCTGTTTATCAACGCCTGATGATCGTACATTATTAACTGTAACTAAGTGCGTCAACGCTGCAGGCCACGCTATCCTACTAATAATTATTATTGAAGGCGACGCGCTTCTTGAGCGCTACTTTACTGATTTGCCCGATAACTATCTGATCGGGCATAGCGATAGTGGCTATACAAACGATTAATTAAGTTATAAATAGGTAAAGCACTTCGTACAGCAGAGCTAGAAGCACATTCAGGGGCTATATCGGCTTCTTTTTACCATGTCCCTATAAGGCTGTGATAACTAACTGTGATGAAATCTTGCCTATTATAAAGCTAGTTTCGTTAAAGTTGCAGATATCGTCGTCTACGATACCCTACTTCTGCTTCCTCGCCTTAACTAGATCGAACTAGCGCTGGATAGCTACTAGATCTTCGCAGGCAGCTCGCTAGTAATTATAAAGACGGCTCTAGCGCGTACGTAGCTCAGGAGTTCGCTTGATAAAGTTATTAACCTAGTTCTTACTAGTAGGGTTGCTCTCCCGTTCATGTAGTAGTTTATTAGCCATTGCTCGAATGTCAGACTTTGTAGGCGCAAATCCTCGCGNAGACTCTTCAAGAATACGCTCAACTACAGCCTCCTCTTCTACCTTGTTTAGACGTTTCGAGTTTGCGTCGCAGTCGCGTCGCGAGCGTCTTCTAGCGCGTCAGTTATGGATAGTCGTTCGAGGCATATTATAGATAGAGACAGCACGTCTTTGACTTTAAACATATTGCGATTTAATATTAAAAAGAGCAAGCTAGAGATCTAATTCATTATAGAGAGTTTAAGGCATACGTTATTAAGATATTACGCAACATCGTCTCAACGTTGACGCGTTAGTGCAAAGTAGTCTACTCCCTTAGGTAGTCGACTCGCTTGTAGACCACGTTAAGTGTATTAATCCTTATAGAGATGGAGCAGAGCTAAGTACAGCGGGCTGACTATTACGCTATATTTAAAGAGAAGATAGCCTAGCGATACTATAACAGATTCCAATTTAACACCAGCTTTTAAATATGCTTGACCCGAGCGCAATAGTTGAAATTAATAATACTCTCTAGCAACTCCCGTCATACGAAGGCCTAGCTCCGACGGCGAAGCAGACAGCGGACATCCTTTCATAGTCCTGCAGGCTGTTTACACAACAGGTTCCTCCTGCATTTTGGACCTAAGGCGAATGCGTTAGTTCAAGAAAGCGACGTATGCTTAGTGAGTAACAGGTCATACTAATGGGATACGGTTGTCGTTACATCCAGCTTCAACTACCCTCTGACCCGCACCAGGGCACCACGCCCTTTGTCCGGCGAGTACAGGAGCGGCTCCAAGAAGGGCGGCAGCAATAACGATAGGGAACTGCATGGTTGGATTTATAGAGGGAAGATTTTTTTCTAAGATATTAATGTTAGAGAAGGAGTTCGTTGCTTAGTTAATATCGTAAAACTGTACCTGATTTGTAGAAGTCAGGAGAATATTTGCCAGTAGAAGTGAGTAAATGAGCTTGGTGATTTAATAATGTAGTAGATCTGTTTGGTTTATATATTCTGTTGTTAATATAGCTCTCGGATCGCTCGGATGGCACGAGTAGTATAATGGCCCGAATGGCGAATTATATAGATAATACGAGCATTAGGTCTTACGAATGACTTCGTATCGCTTTATTATAGTTCTGTAGACTTATCTTGGAATAAAAATACGCTAGGATGTAAGTGTTATAGAGTGTTCTGTCACTTCGCCATGCATGTCTTTTTATTTAATCACCAACAACTCACCAAACCTAAGCGCTAGTAACTTGTATTCCGTGAGGGTTAGATCACTTAGCGCTTGTTAGAGTATTATGCTTGATTAAGTACAGCACGAGCATAGAAAAGAGATATCAGTAGTAAACGGTCGCGTATTGGCTAGACGAATAACTAGCGAGCTAGTCTAGTGATTGTCTACCTTGATGCTGTCAGGACTCTGTCTAACTTGGCACAATCCAGTCCAAGCTGGGACACTCTTACCTTGCCCGGTATAGCTTAGTTAAGATTGAGTCAGCTTAACGTCAAAGATCAGCAAGCTGGCCAGCCCACCCCACC